TGGATTAAGACTAGCACCACCGTCCCAGCGACATCCAACTTCAGATCATTTATGGTCTAGTCACACTAATGCTGATGGCAAGCAACCTGAACACTCAGCAAGGGGAGAACACCAGGCCCAGCTACCTTCCACTGCCACCAATTATTCGTCACCTGCTCATCGAAGCTCACAGCCAACACCATTTAATTCTTCGGAAATGGGTGGTACTGGACAGCCAGCTGCACATTTCCCCCAGTTAGGTTCCGGGCAGCAATATCCTGTGCCAGACACAAGATCAGGTTCTGTACCCATGCCTCAGCAAGACAGCACAGCTACAGTATTCAAGAACGTATGGACAAACATATCGGCGCAACGTCTAGCTGGTACCCAATCTAACAAGATTACACCCAATATTCTCCAGTCTATGATGTTCTCCAGCAACCCCAACTTATGGGGTTCGCAAAAGGCAGACGACCAAGGACAGAAGGTTTCAACACCACCTGATGTAGCCACAAGTTCTGCCAATTCACATAATCAAGAGACAAAACAAGCTCTGGACAGTGATGCAGGGTTAGCCTCTTCTGAGATGGCAAATTTTGATTCGACTGGAGCTGCTGTACCCAGAGGGAATCAAGCCCTGCAGAAGCATTCTTCAGACGGGAACTTTGCCATTCCTGCTTCATCCTTGGCACAATTGCGTCAGCAAGGTATCATGAACCCTAGGCAGGGAGAGAACCCTGCAGCTAACTTTCAGGTTATGAATACTTCTCACAACACTGGTACTAATACGAGTGGCATTGGGTTACATGGAAACCCAACAGCTTCAAACCTCCAACAGACAAATTTTGCTCTTCTGCATCAAATGCAAGCAATGGGTCATGTGGATGTTGATCCAGGCAATAAAACTGGAAAGATGCTTAAACCAAATGAGATTAGTTCTGACGCGTCGCAAGTTGACTGGAAGTCTGCTCAGAGGTTTGCACATGGAGCCAATAACTCACTCAGGTCGTCTATAGATAACATTGGCAGTACTAGTGTCCAAGGGTCATTCCCTTCAGACATGAAAATGCTAAGCTTTGCTCCAAGGAACAATGAGGAGAGAAGTACAAGCATACCTTCTCAGATCCCTTCTAGGGAAGTTCTCTCTCATGGTATGGTCATGCGTAATGATCATCAAAGTCAAGTTCAGTCTCTTGGAACAAATGTATCATCCAATTTGATTGAAAGAAGTGAGAGACCTGGGATAAACCCTCAAATGGCACCCTCTTGGTTTGAACATTATGGAAACCAAAGAAATGGTCAGAGTCCTTCTGTGTTTAATGCTCAGAAGACCCCAACTCCACCATATAATGTTCCAAAAGCTTCTTGGTGCATGGAAAATAACTCTCTCGAGGATAGAGCTGATGCCGGCCAAGCTGCCAGGCCTTTGGTGCCTAATATGAAGACAGCTTTGATGACAAGGCCAAAGAAGCGCAAATTTACAGAACGTGCTCTTGTTTCTTGGCATAAAATCAGTGAAGGCACTCAAAAGTTGAGAAAGACAAGGTGAATTTTCTCCCTTTGCAGGGCAGTAGTTTGGATTTGTGTTGAAGCATATTTTCTGTCCTCTTACTGTTACTCCTCTTACTGTTACTGTCAGCACCAGTAATTTATGTGACTTGCAGTTACTTATTTGTTGAGTTGTTTATCTTATGTTGCCTTGATGTTGCTAACAATTGTGACCATCTTCAATTGCTGGACAGCACGAATGAGATGGATTGGGCTTGGGCAGCTAATAGATTAATTAAGAAGGTTTGCGCTGCTATACTATTTCAGCTACTTTAGGTCTTGCATATTGGTTCAAAGGGTTTCCATTTGACACCAATTAAATTTCTTAACAGTCTGAGGATGATCCGGAAAGTCTGGAAGATGCCCCGGTAAATTATTTACCACGGAAAAGGCTAATTATGACCACAAAGTTGATTCAGGAAGTTTTCCCTGCTATACCAGCAAGAGTTCTCAGAGCACAAGCTGTATCAGCTTATGAAAGTGCTACATACAATATCGCAATGTTCACTCTAGGAGATACATGCATAATCTCATCAGATAACTCTCGCGCTCTTGCAGATAATGAAAATAAGTAAGTCTTTGTAAACTTATCTTTTTTTGCTTATTCTCTCTTGTGGTCATGAAAGTAAAATTTACTTTTATAACCTCATTGCTGAAAGGCTAATTATTACACTGTCATTGATCAGCCCATCCGAACAAAGAACAAGTGCCAAGCAAATGGAAGACAAGTTATCAAAGGTTGTGGAAGTCTTTGTTGGAAGAATCAGGAAAATGGAAAACGACTATATGAGGTACGAGCACCCTCCACCCCCCACCCCGCCCACACACATTGCTTATTGGCTAGCTAGTTTAAAAAACAACATTGCGGTTTTTCATTTATTTATGGGCTCCTGTGGGGTGTGTGCGCCTGCATATAAAAATATCCAACATAATTTGGTAGAACATCTGAGCATGTTAGAATATTTGTACATGTAAATAGTTGTGTAGTAAAAATAATTGCATACACTGTGCTAGAAAGATAAAAGATTGCCAGAAGGGAAACATTTGGGCCTTCTGGACCAGTCAATTTTGAGGGGCTTATTGAGATGTTAGCTGGCTTGGTTCTTCCTTTCTTTTACTTAATTTTGCTAAGATCTTAACTTCCGTTTATATTGCGTTTTCATGTGCAAAATAATATTTTTTGGCTACTTCATCATAACATTTTTTAAGCTGGGCTTGGTTGTTGATGATATATTTTAATATTTCTAGGGCCCTAATTCTTTTTGACTTTGATCATATGGTAGGAATGAACGTTGATATGCTGAATCATAACCAAATGAACAGTGAACATCACTTAGAAATTTTATTTATTCAAATAAAGTTACACTGTTTTCCTATTTTTCTCAAGAATTTTGTTCTTGAACTCGCATGTTTCATATGCGTGGCAATAATCTAATAATCAACAGCTTACTATGTACAGAGATTTCAGTTGCGTCGCATTTCTGAAAACATTAACTAGCTTTTGTTGATCTTTAATTCCTTGTGCACTCTCACTCATGACACCAATTCCATTTTACTACTTTGTTGTCGACTTATCTCTGTTTAATTGATGATAGTTCTCTCAACACCGTTTTCCCTCTTGTTGCAGCTTGAGCAAGAGGGCTTCGATGCTAGATGTGCATCTGGAGTGCCAGGATTTGGAAAGGATTTCAATCGTAAATCGTCTGGGAAGATTCCATGGCCGAAACCATGCAGCTGGTGTCGAGGCCTCATCTGGCTCACAAATGGTTTCTCGCAGAATTTTCCCTGATAGACATGTAATGTCTTTCTCTGTGCCAGGAAATCTTCCCGAAGAGGTGCACTGTTTGGCACTCTAGTGCATCGATTTCTTGCATTGTTCCTCAAACCTCTCCTCAGATCACCTCTGTGGCTACAAGTGTGATTTCCAATGCTCCCTTTTCTCCTGCAAAGCACGGCGTTTATACAGAACGGTCAGATCCAGGGGTGGTTTGGAAATCTCAACCGTCGCATATGCCACAGAGGCGCCCAAGGGATGTGTCCGGCCGATCAACTCAGTGCGGGCTGTTGTTATTTCTCCCTTGTATGAAGTATAGGTCCCTGTATATTGTGGAAAGTATTTCATCATTTTACTGATGAAGGAAGGGTGTTAGCTTCACAATTCGTTAGAGAAGTCGATGCTTACTAGCTTTAGTACATCTAGCGGAAGTTTCCGCTACTTGTCATCTTTTTATCCATGATGATGAAGAAAGAGTGTTGGCAGTTTAGAGGGGTGAATAATAACGAGAGCCTTGTCCTCTGGGTTCTTTTGTTCCTTTAGGAATGGGATGCAAATTGGCTAGCGGTGTCCAGAGTCGAACTGACCTACCTCTCCCCCTTTGTTGTTACTTGTTAGTCAGCAGTTGATTACTTGTGTCATGTAGTGCTGAGAGCAATTCATGGAATGAACAAAAACGCCGGGTAAAGCGCTTGTAAAATGTTGTAATCTTATATAAATCCCTGCGATGTTGAAAGCCCTAATGGGTTCTTGTAAATTTTAAAGTGCGATTATCACCGAGGCCGTTTTATCATATTCTGCAGCAGAAGTTGGCGTGGAGAGGATGTCTGCAGCTACTATTAGATGTCTGAGAGTGCTGCTGATCCTATATTCGGCTTAATTGCTTCACATGTTTTGTAGTTTGGTTTTGGGATGGGTTTTTGCTGAACCAGGAGTGGGTCGTTCGAAGAGCCTGCAGGGACCGGCGGTCAATCTCTTTTTGAAATGAAATCATATTCAGGTGGGGATTTCTCTCCCATTTTAAAAAAAGGGTAACAGGAATACAAGATCTTGATATAATGCACTGAGAAAGTAACTAAAGCAATTGCAAGTCAGGAACTAACTAGAAGGAAGAAAAGATCTAACCTGTCTACTTGACAACCCTGAACCAACTTCATTCCTAGCTAAAACGTTGAGCAATATTCCTGAAATAATCATCTACTGACAATCCACCACCACAGAACCACAAACACAAGTCCGAATTTGTGAATCTAGTACATTTCAGCGGTTCATTATTTATTTATTTTCTTTTTCGAAAATCTCCCCCCTCCACTCACCCAAGTCACGCGAACTGCAACTCGAGAGAATCAATCAATCAAACAAAAAACGGATGAAGAATAGGGGCCTCGATCGGAGTTGCGTTTTGAACTGAATGCGTGACTCTCCCAAGCTCGGCCGGACTGCGCGTTCCCGCCGCGTTGCGTTGTGTCATGGGCTCCGGGGAGAACTCGGAGGCGTGCGTGACCGCCGCGTTGCGTTGACGCCATGATAGAGCTCGGCATTTCGAATCCGACTCTGGACGAGCTCGGAGGCGTGGCCGCCACGCGATCACGGTGATATTAATTATGCCCCCACCCCGGCTGATTCGATCGCAGTCTGCTTCCTCCACCTCCGCCTCCCTCCACACCGAACGTACGCGGACGCGCTCTAGTTGTAGATCATGGCGCTTGCATCCGGGTTCTGCCCGCCGCCGTCGTACACCCCGGGTGCGTCCCAGCGCGCCCCCTTCTTCCTGGGCTTCGGCTTCGGCGGCGAGTGCTGCGACCCGTCGTTTGCCGACTACGAGGAGTACGCCCCATCGAGCCCTTCGCCGCTCACGAGCTCCAAGGACTACACTCCGTCGACCCCCCTGCAGTCGCCGGAGCCGGACTACACTCCGGCGAGCCCCGACTACACTCCATCAAGCCCAGACTACACTCCGGCGAGCCCAGACTACACTCCATCAAGCCCCGACTACACTCCGGCGAGCCCAGACTACACTCCGGCGAGTCCTTCGCAGTCGCTCGAGTACACTTCGTCGAGCCCTGTTCGCCTCGCTTTCATGATGCCGCCTCCTCCGCGCGGCGCATCGCCAGACTACACGCCCTTGACGCCGTCAGAGCATGCTGCTACATCACCTTACTACACTCCGTCGACTCCTCCCGGGCGCGCTTGTTCGCCTCCGTCCCCACTGGTGGTGTCTGACGCCGAGTCGTGCGCGTCGCCGTATTACACGCCGTCAACTCCTTCAAGGCGGGCCGCGTCGCCGGACTACACGCCCAGCACGCCGCCTCCATCGCCCCTGGCGTCAGAAGCAGACTCGACCACGTCTACAGCGCGCTGCCGCCACCATCCGTACCAGAGGAGCGGCACTGGCCGGATCAACCGCGGCGGACGTCAGCGAGCCTTGGCATATTGATATCTTGTAATAGAATTGTAATAGGAGCAACAGATTAGATTCTCTTTGTATAAATCTCGAATTGCTATGCATTTGTTTATTCCTTGGGGAAATCTTGTATTACTCACGAATCGATGAATATTATCTGTATCGAGCTTTTGTTTAAGATGCGAGATTGTTCTCTGTTATTGTTTCTCGTTTTTTATGGCCGGACGGACGTCTTTGTTTGTCATCGATGTAAATTGCAACATTGCCTATGTGATTCGACGAAAATCACCCAGATACCCAGCAATTGGTAAAGGTGTGTCTGTGTGATGTATTGATGTAGTATGAGAGAAGCACATTGTTGCTGTTGCTCTGTAAAACTGAAGATTGCCGCCTGAATGTTGAGCTTGATGAAACAGAGCCTGTCACCTGGAAGCAGTCTACTGCTCAGATAGCTGTTTTTCTATGGGCCCGACAAGACGTCCAAGTCGAACTGGCCTCCCCCTTTTTGGTTAGTACTTGTCAGTCAGCAGTTGATTACTTGTGTTATGTAGTGCTGAAAGCAATTCATGGAATGAACAAACGCCGGGTAAAGCACTCGTAAACTGTTGTAATCTGAAATCCCAGCGATTTTGAAGCCCTCAGGGTCCTTGTTTTTTAAGTGCAATTACCACTGACACTGAGGCCGGTGACTAAGCTTTTTCATATTCTGAAGCAGATGCTGGAAACGATGTCTGCAACTAGATGTCTGTTTGGTAAACATCGGGAGTAGACTCAGTTTGGCTAATATGTTGCTCTCTCTGTAAATAAATATAAGACGTTTTATAGGTCACTAAAATAGTGATCTAAAACATCTTACATTTGTTTACTGAGGAAGTACATCTCTACATCAGCATGCTATTGTGCTAACTGAATTGCCTTGCATGTTTTGTAGTTTGGTTTTGTGAGGTGCTTTTGCTGAACATGGATTCAGTAGCTTGGGCATGGGTACATAGCATAGCATCTTGTGACTCTTGTTTGCACCTCCAGTTAAACTAACCCGTTTGCATCTACATATACTAAAGCAAAAGAAGCAAAAGTAGGAAAGAGAAAAAAGTTAACAAAACGCATGGATAGGAGATAAATACACTCATGGTCACTATAGTTGCGACTGAAGCACGATACGGTCACTGAACTTAGGAATACGCTCGATACGGTCACTGAATACAATGTGATGTGAAAATACAGTCACTGTAGCACGTACACGGTGGGTACAACGCTGTTGACCACGTGTTGACCAGTTGTCCAGGCCAGGTGGCAAACCGCGGAGGCGTCACCGTCGCTCTTTTGCATTTAGCCCCCCGGCCACAATGGAATCCACCCATTCACCCCTCCTCCAGTCACGTTGCCTCTTCGTCTTCGATTAAAAACAAGGGGGCGGCTGCTGCATAGGCGCCGCCGCCGCCCCCGGCGATCGTCGACGGTGCAGGCGAGTTGAGGCGTGGAGCTCGTCAGCGGTTGCACGGGCGGCGCCGCCGCGCGTGTTCTTCTCGTCGAAAGCGTCGGGGATGGCCCCTTTTGTCGCGCAGAAGGGGCGCCACCCCCTGTGTACAGTAAGTATCCGCCCCCATGGAACCCGAGCCTCTTTGTGCGTTTTGATCGTCAAAAGACCTCCTTTTAGGGCCGCATTTCCATCGTAGATGTGTTCTAGTTGCAAGGTAGGACCGATTGTTCTAGGGTTTTCAGTCAGGAATTGGGGGTTAAGGGAATTGGGGCTTAGGGTTTTTGAGAGGTTACCAAATTGAAGATATCATCGATTGTGATGCATATACTGCTGTTGTTGTTGTTCTGTCAGGTCGTCGAAGCAACAATTTTTCGGTGCAGATCAACCATGGTGGATTTTTTGTTGGCCAAGGCAGTAACCGTTCTTATGTAGATGGACATGCCATTTGGTATGATCAAGTTGAAGCGTCACCTGGTCTCCTATTATGATTGAAAATCTTGTGGAAGAACTAGGTTATGAGATGGCAGGGAGGGTTAAGGTTTTCTACTGTGTCCCCATCCTCACACTTGGCAGAAATGGTCTCAGGGCAATTACTGATGATGAACAGGCTTCCAGAATGCTAATGTTTCTTGATACTGGTCACCACTTTTTCAGTCTCTTTTTGGATCATGATGATAGCTTCTGTGCAAATCTTAGTGAGGATGATGTTGTGAATCATCCAAGAGCTACTCTGCCTCCAGTTTTCAGCCCAACAAGAAGAGTTCATAGCAATGCAGAGAATGCAGAGGATGATGAGGCAGAAGCAGAGCATGGAGAAGCTGATGCAGAAGCAGAGCATGGAAAAGTTCAAGTAGAAGCAGAGGCTGGAAAAGGAGAGGAAGCAGAGACACATGTGCCACCAATTCGTATTCAAGTTGTGTATCCTGATTGTGATGAGGAGGAGGATGTCAACCAGTTTGAGTTTGTTAAGAGGGCATCAGTTGAGACAGAGGATGGTAATCAAAGACATAAAGAACATGCAGAGCTAGAAGGTGATGCAGGTGGAAATCTGAGAATGAGGAGGAGTGCCAAGCAAAACCAGGTGAACTATGCAATGGAATAAGAGGATGGAACAAGTGATAGTGATGATGAAGATTATGAACCTGATATGCTTGTGGACAGTGACAATGAGATAGGACATGGTGATGATGATTTGTATGTAGATAATGTAGATGAGGATGAACCTGAGCAGAGAGATGAAAAGAAATCAAATGAGAAAGCAAAGCAAAAAGGGAAAGATAAAGTAGTTCCTACCAATCAACAGAAAGGGAAACAAGCATACCACTCTGATGAAGACATGTCAGAGACTGATGATTTGTTGGCTCCTGATTCAGATGATGAAGAGCTCAGTTTGAAGTTCAAATCCTTTAGAGAAGAGGATCTTCATAAGCCAAAGTTTCATGTTGGGCAGGTGTTTGAGAGTGTAGAGCTATTAAGGACTGCCATCAAAGAGTACTCATGTCAGAACATAGTTGATATCAAGTTGCATGTGAATGATAGGAAGAGACTGAAAGCAAAGTGTGATGAAGACTGCACATGGTACTTGTGGGCATCATATGATAACATGACTATGGCTTTCATGGTGAAAAGATATGTGAGTGAGCATACATGCATCAAGAAGTGGAAGATTAGGGCTTTCACAACTAAATTCCTAGCACATAAGTACCTAGAGATGTTCAGGGCTGATCAGGACATGAACCTTATGAATTTTTCTAGGGTTGTTCAGAAAGAATGGCATATGACACCAGGCAGGATGAAGTTGCAGAGAGCTAGAAGGATGGCAATGAAAATAGTATATGGTGATGAAGAAGGGTAGTACAAGCTTCTGTGGAATTATGCTAATGAAGCCAGGAGAAGCAACCCTGGCTCATCATTTTATGTCTCACTTGGTGAGAATGCAAGGTTCAACAAATTATATATGTGTCTGGATGCTTGCAAGAGAGGATTCCTTTTGGGTTGCAGGCCAGTGATCTTCCTTGATGGCTGCCACATCAAAACAAGGTACAAAGGTCAACTACTTGCAGCTGTTGGTGTAGATCCAAATAATTGCATCTTTCCAATAGCAATTGCTGTTGTTGAAGTGGAGGACACCCCTAATTGAGCATGGTTCCTTGACACACTGAAAAGGGATCTTGGCATCATCAACACTGAACCCTGGACTATCATGTCAGACAAGCAAAAGGTAACACTTGGTAATCTTGATCTTCATCTTGTACTTGTTTCATGCACTTGTTACTGTTTGTCCCTATAGTTAAAGCCTTTCATTCATGCAATGTGCAGGGTCTCATTAGTGCAGTTGAACAACTATTCCCTCAGTCAGAGCACAAATTTTGTGTAAGGCACATGTGGCAGAACTTCCAGCAGCATTTCAAAGGGGATATTTTGAAGAACCAACTATGGAAGATAGCAAGGAGCAACACTGTTAAGTTATATGAGATGGGGATGGAGGAAATGAAGCTACTTAATGCAGATGCTCACAAGTGGCTTCATGAGCAGGAACCCAACACTTGGGTGAAAGCCTTTTAGAGTGATTTGCCAAAATGTGATATACTACTGAACAACATATGTGAAGTTTTTAACAGGTTAGCATGATCACTTTTTGATGCTTAGGTTATTTTCTAATGCTTAGGTCATACTTAGGTTGTTCTAATACAAGTGACATTTCCAGGTATATTTTGGAGGCTAGGGAGCTGCCAATACTTACCATGGTTGACAGAATATATAGGCAGCTTATGACCAGGCATTATAACAAGCAGATTGAATCAAACAAGTGGCCAGGCAATATATGCCCTAAAATCAGGAAACAAGTTGAGAAAGCATGTGAGTTTGCAAACACATGCTATGTGGATTGCTCAGGTGATGGTCGTTTCCTGGTAGGTGACAGAGGGACATATTACATAATTGACTTGCATAAAAGAACATGCACTTGTAGAAGAATTCAGAAATCAGGGGTGCCATGTTCTCATGTGATAGCCTGCTGTAGGCAAGAAAGAATTGATCCTCTTGAACTAGTAGACCCGTGCTTTTCCAAGCAAATGTTCAAGAAGGCATATGAAAGCATTATCTACCTTGCAAAGATAGGAGAGAGTGGTAGGACATGTGTGGGCCCTCAATATTGCCACCATTGTACCATAAACATGTAGGAAGGCCATCCACTGCAAGAAGACAAGCACCTAGAGAGGTTGATCATAGAAAGGGAGGGAAAAAATCACAAGGCATGGTGTAATCATGCATTGTTCATATTGTGGTGATCCAGATCACAACAAGTCTGATGCAAATACTTGAAGGCTAGAATTCCACCACCAAGTGCAAGTAATAGAGGCAATGGTGCACCCAGTGTGCCACCCACAACTCCAGATGAAGACAATGGTGCACCCACTGTGCCACCAACAACTCCAAATGCATCACATCAAGATGATCCAGCCTTAAATCAGGTAATAAAGAGTTGCAGCTCCTGAAAACCAAATCCATTATCTTCATGATTGCAATATGTAGGATCGAAAGTATGTCTAGA